AATAACAACACGATAAGTTCTATACTCTAGAAAAATCAGTAACTTATTCTTTTCTCATACAATCAATCAAATCCAAAATTTTATAAATATTTGTCTGCCATTTTTTCAAAACTCTAATTTTTCTCAAACCATTTTCAACCACAAATTCTCATAATAAAATATTTTGCACATAAATCTAAAACTTTTTCTTACTTTTACTTATTCTCCAAAAACTCACTATTCTAAAACTCTTTTTCATTAAATAATAGTAGAAAACAGGAGCTAAATATGAATACTGCCTTGAATGAGTTATTGACTGTTGACTATGAAAGTATTACAGCATAACAAATACGCTATTTATTCTCAAGATAATCAAAATATTCAACTATTTCGACAAGAATAGATCTTCACTAATATAGACCTTGAAAGACAACAACAACTTACCCTCATAACTCAACCCTAAAAACATTATAAAGAAATTATTGCAATAAGTTTACCACAAAAACAAATTCAAGAATATGAATGATAATGTAAACTACAACGTCAATTGCAGATTATCTCACTCAATCGGATACAATATAAAGTTATTGCAATATTTGACCACTGAAAAATATCACCAATTTCAAATGCTAAACAATACTATCAACAACTAATCTTGACAGCTTAGTCTAATACACAATATAAAGTAGAAATTCCAATATTTCATCACGAAAAAGACAACTTACCCTCATAACTCAACCCTAAAAACATTATAAAGAAATTATTGCAATAAGTTTACCACAAAAACAAATTCAAGAATATGAATGATAATGTAAACTACAACATCAATTGCAGATTATCTCACTCAATCGGATACAATATAAAGTTATTGCAATATTTGACCACTGAAAAATATCACCAATTTCAAATGCCAAACAATACTATCAACAACTAATCTTGACAGCTTAGTCTAATACACAATATAAAGTAGAAATTCCAATATTTCATCACGAAAAAAAGAAAACCATAATTACATAACTGTCAGTCGAACCAAATATTGGCAATTCAACCATCGATTCACTATATCAAAATCATAATTACATAATCGACAGATATTGGCAATTCAACCACCAATTCACTATATCAATAAACAATTATTGCGATATTTTATTTTGAAAGAATCGTAATATGTTGTTTTTGTTATTATTATTATTGTTGTTGTTGTTATTATTATTATTTTCATTCTTCAAATCAAAGACAAATTCTTTAATATTGGTGTAAATTTGCTTGATTGTATTGTTGACCATAGTGAGAGTGCCCTTATTGCAAAAATTCTAACCTGCCTAACCATGCACCATTTCATTTGTGCCTATAAAGACTGTCTTACTGTTCACTTTGTTTATTACCCCTCTCTCTCTCTCTCTAAAACTCTCTTCTCTTCTCTCTCTAAAATTCTCCTGTTACAACGAAGCTGACTTGGCTCTACGGCATTGACTGGTTCCAAAGATTATACCCTCCGGCTATATGGATAACAGCTATATATAGAGATCGGTGAGTTTCACATACCTGATAAATTTTAGTTTTTTTTCCATTTTTTGTGATGCATTTTAATCTCAATTAAAAGGTTATATATTTTGACTGTATAAAGAACCCATATCTATGAGTGATTGCATTTTCGATAGAGAATCACAGGAGAGAATCTCTGAAAAGATTTTGTGCAATTTTATTCATCTGGGTACATTTCAATTTCCTTCATTTAAATTTGGAATTAAATCCTCCAATTCATTCTGATTCACCTCTTAATTTTTTTCTGGTTTCCGTTTTCATTTCCTTCTATTATTTTTGGTACTTTTTTATGAGGTGCATTTGCTAATAAGTGAAAAGAATTAACTGGGACTGTAAAACTTGGGAATTCACATGCATAGAGATACACACAGACACATACATACATACATACATATATATATATATATATATAAAAAACAAGAAAATATGTGTAATGTGAAAATAATGGATTACAAAAAAAATAAAAAAACAAGATTTACGTGCTAACCCAATTGGGAAAAACCACAGGCAAAGACAAAAAATTCACCATAACTAATAGTAAGAAATTACAAAGGATCTCTTTAGACCAATAACTAAGTTGGAAAATTGGTCAATTTCAATAAATTGTACACCACATATTTAAAATCAAAGAATTCCTAACATACTAGAAGAATTAATATGTGAAAAGTTTAATATAAGGTGAAATCTCAATACAATGGGGAAAACCAATAATAGAGAATTCTGGATGAAATAAGAGTTAAATTCACCTTGGACTCCTTCAAGACATCTTCAAGTCTACTACCAACTTCTAGTACTACTCTAACAGTATTTTCAATCAAATACTCAACAAGAATTCGGGTCATAGCATAATTCTAACAGCTTGAAATTACTAAGGAATCAATGAATATTTTTTTTCATACATGATTGGAGGGATTTATGGAGCAAAAAATCATTAACAGTTTCTGTAATAGTTGATGTTATTGTTAATTAATATATAAGAAGTGTGGATATATAGGTGGCAAAGATTCAGTTCCTCAATTTCTCCTCTTATTTATTTTTCCTTTTGTAAATAAAACCTTATTCCATCTACTTAATTCAATATTAATATATTCTTCTGTTGTATTTTCATTGCTTTAAACTTTTTTTTTTTTTTTTTTTTTTTTTTTTTTTTTTTTTTATGGTTGCTATCTCATATTGAAGATACAACAGATGAAATCAGTAGTCTCATTGCTATTTAAAAAGTAACTGTTAAGAAATTTTAAATGATTAAAATGTCTTCTGTATGCAATTTCGAATAATTAAGCTTCATCAAATTTTAGTATTTAGGACAACCAAATCATTCGGCTAAACTTCAACTGCAGGACCAGCATTTTTTCATACAACTGTACTACATCTAGGAGAATGGAAAAGAAGTAACGTATTTCAAAGTTCGTGTGTAATAAAAATAAAATAGGGGTATTTACATGTGATCGATGACATAAATCCTTCTACTTCCCATGTCTTGTGCATCCCTGTTTCACACAATCAGGACCAGCATTTTTTCATACAACTGTACTACATCTAGGAGAATGGAAAAGAAGTAACGTATTTCAAAGTTCGTGTGTAATAAAAATAAAATAGGGGTATTTACATGTGATCGATGACATAAATCCTTCTACTTCCCATGTCTTGTGCATCCCTGTTTCACACAATCAACGTTACATTCACTAGGTTTTACTTCCATGTTTTGTGCATACTATTTTGCGTAATCAATGTCATACCTTCTAGGTGTAAATAACAAGTTCCATGTTTCAATCTTCATGTGCATCCACAAAGGAATAGATTCATTTTCACGTGATCAGGGACGTATGCCCCCTGCTTTTCAGTTTCATGCGTATCTTTCACGTGATCGGTGACATCACTCAATTTTCAAATAATTTTGAAAAAGAAAATTATGTAAATCCCAGTTCAATTTTATCATTTATTGAAGGTCTTGACATAATCCGTGTCCACAGATGTCAATCTAAACGGACAAGAATCATTAAACTTTCATGTAAACATATATATGAACAAAGAATATTGTTACAATTTTATCATTACTGATTGTTATGATGCTGCATTATGGCAGATGGACGGTTGGTTAACTACCGGCCCAATTATAATCTGAACTTACCACCACCAAGAACCGAAGCAGGTGCATCCACAAGTACACTCAGGCTCTTCCAATTAGGGCCAGCAACACCAGATCAGCAAAACAAATCAAAGAACTTCCGGCCCACTGGAGCACCACATTGGTTGGTAGACAAAATCCCAATTCAAGAAAATGATGATATAGAGAATGTTTTCTCTCAACAACCTAAAATTGCAGAGAAACAATCTAATCAATTATTGCAGAACATTGTGGACGAATATGCAGCCATACTGAAATTGCCAAAAGAAAAGAGCATTTCTGATAATGGAAGTCGTCTAGTGTTATCTCAACCACCTGAAATTGTAGAGAAACGATCTAATCAAATAATGCAGAACATTGTGGACGAATCTACTTCCACATTGGAATTGCCAAAGGAAAAGAACGTGTCTGATGATGGAAATCATGAAGGAATTAATATGAACAAGACACCACAGCAGAAACCATCCAGAAGAAGAAAACACCGACCAAAAGTAGTAGTGGAAGGGAAACCCAAAAGGACACCAAAGCGTACCACAAAAAATAATAGCCCCGATGGAAATCCTTTGGGTAAAAGGAAGTATGTGCGCAAAAAGGACATCAAAACCTCCACAACTCCACTGGCTGGTGTAGTGAACGAAGTTGGAGTCTCTAACGTGAACTCTGCAGAAAAATCATGCAGGAGAATGTTAAACTTTGACTTGGAAAATGGAGCAGAAAAGCAAAGCAGGGACAGAGCAATTGGTAACCAAGAAGAGATAAATGAAAAGAGAAAGATGCCTTTTACTTGGAACTTGGATTTTCACAATGCAGAGGGGCATATGGGATTCAACGCAGAATCTACATCATCTTCAGTGAAGGAATGGCATCAAAGCGTACGTAGCATGGAGAAACGACAAACGGAGAATCCACAAAGTTTTGTCCCCTTTGTACATCACACCCCACTGCAATTACCGTTGCCATTTCCAACTTCAGCACCATCTTCAGCAAGGGATCATACATTAAATGTCATAGCAAGGAGATTGAGTATGCGAAATGCTAATATAAACCAAAGGGGAAGCCCGAGTTGGTACAGTCAGGTGGATCATAGTGTCAGTGGAGTACGACAGGCCCAGTTTGCCATACAAACACATGCAAATGAAACAAAGGTAGATGGAAGAAGGCAACCAATGCTGCAGACTGGGACTCAACTCCTGGATGATCTGGTGGACATCATTGACAGGAGAGGATCCAAGAGAGAATATTCCCAAACTGAGCTGACACAACCAGAAACTTCTGCGCTGATGGGCACTCAACTATTGTGCCAGGGAGTTTCTGAGACCGGCTATTGTGCCAGTGAGAGCAACAAATTATGGCAAGATGGTTTAGAAACTAGTAAGAGAAGGAAGGTTGATGATAACTTTCATGTAACCTCATCAAGCACGCCTTCTAACATAACTTTTGAACATTGCTCAAGACAAGTCGAAGGAAGAGACGTGAAAAGTGTCTGTGCAAATGGCTCTACTTTACACCTGAATGGTGGACTACCATATTCTGACTTTGAAGGAAAGAGCACCTCCTGGAAGCCAGACAATGAAGCCAACAAGGTCCACGATCAGTATATGAACCCCGGAAACTTTCGACATGAATTTCAGCGGCAACTTACTTCATCTCAAGTTTATTCATTTGCAGAACATATGGTGCAGAACGTCACTTGTCACACTAATAAAGCCCAAAGCAGCAATTCCCTTGGTGCAATTCTATGGAATCAGGCGTCTTCATCTCAAAGGGGCCCTAAAATCATTCGAGGGAATGAAATAATAAATTCTTCTATTCACCTTTCGGTGAAGGAACAAACAGCTAGACTGAAATCATTCAACCAAGCAATTAATATGGAGAAAGTCATCAGTAAAGAGAACAAGACAAGGGGTTACAAAGGTCCCTCCAAAAACATCATAGATACCCATCTATTCGTCAAGTTATGCTGTTAGCATCAACATAACGTTGTTATTTAAAAATTTTAAGCAGTTTTTCTATGTTTTGTGCAGGCTCGCTTGGAGACAGCAGACGTTTATTTTCAGTTGATAATATTATAGAAAGTTTAAAATCTCTGAGCATCAACTGTAGTGGAAAGAAAATTGTTGGGGAGGAGCAAGGTGCACTTGTTCCATATAAACAAGATGGTGCTATCGTTCCATATGAAGAATTTGATCCAATTAAAAAACGACGGCCACGACCTAAAGTGGATCTTGATCCAGAGACAAATAGACTATGGAATCTTTTGATGGGTAAGGAAGGAAGTGAAAGCACAGAAACGACAGACAAGAATAAAGAAAAATGGTGGGAAGAAGAGAGGAAAGTGTTCCGCGGACGAGTAGACTCGTTCATTGCACGGATGCATCTTGTTCAAGGTATTTTCTCCCAGACAATGAAATTGTTGGCATCGCTGATACCATGCTTAAGCTATCCCTATTCCATTATCGATTCTATTTCATACATTATCTTTACATAACATGTTAGATAATATTAATCTTTTGATTAAATGTAAATGCACTCGAAATATACCATATATAAGTCCAAATTTTATAATTTTCTTAAACATGTGAAGATGATAATGTGAAATATACCTTAGGAATCTTAGGAGTTAATGATAAGTTTTGTTTTTGTTGTAAGAAAACAATAACAAATACAGCTAATTGTTTACACAAAGTAACAAGTTTTATTATTTAGAAATCATTGTGATTTGGGGAGTGTGTGAAGGGAGAGTATGGGGGAAGTCCGAGAGTGCAAAACCACAATGGTGCCCCTATTGCTTTCTAGATAGGACTTTGAAGAAAGAGAATGGTTGTCTTTAGTGATCATAACCTGGAAATAATCACATGGTTCAGTTCACGTGTTGTAGCCACAACAATGAACAACAAAAATAATAAGCTTAGTAGTATTTGCAATAAACTTGTGCTAGCTACGTGAATCTGTTTTGTCCACTCCCTTCAGTGTGGTGAATCTCGTGAAAGGTCCAATGTACTCAAATCTTTTGCAACAAAATGTCTTGTTGACTTTAGTCTACTTGCTAAACTCAAATAACATCATTCTTGTGAATAGAGCTTATATGGATCTATGGAAGCCATGTACCAACCATCTAAATCATCCTTCCTTTAATATATCTCCAAATAGTATCAAATCCACTTGATGTATAACCTCAAATTTTTTTGTTTGATCTGTTCTTGTATTTCCACTCATCCATCTTAACATACTCATTTACGTTATAGACATTTTATTATTTAACAATATAACTAGTAAGGTATCTGTTCATAAAATTTATTTTAACATGGTGGATATATTCGATCATATATAATCCTTATAGTGCTTCTACAGTTTATTTTAATCGCCCTAATCCTATCCATCACATCCTCTTAAGTCTTGGTTTCTTATTTGCAACCAAATCTAAATACATAAACCAACATTATCTGGGAAATGATCCTCTACTGTGACTTTCCCATCACTCTTATTCCTAAAAGGATATTCTGTATAATTCATCTTAATTCTGCTTAATTGTTTAGTTTTAGGAAAGCACACTTAAATCAAAATACATAAACCAACATTATTTGAGAGATGATCCTCTATTGTGACTTTACCAACACTCTTATTCCTAAAAGGATATTCTGTATATTTCGTCTTAATTCTGCTTAATTGTTTAGTTTTAGGAAAGCACACTTAAATCAAAATACATAAACCAACATTATTTGAGAGATGATCCTCTATTGTGACTTTACCAACACTCTTATTCCTAAAAGGATATTCTGTATATTTCGTCTTAATTCTGCTTAATTGTTTAGTTTAAGGAAATCACACTTGAATATAAATACATAAACCAACATTATTTGAGAGATGATCCACTATTGTGACTTCACCACTCTTATTACTAAAATGATTTTCTGCATATTTTGTCTTAATTCTGCTTTTATTTAGTTTTAGGAAAGCACACTTAAATTAGTAAATGCCATAATAAATTCTAGTGTTATTTCTTGAAACTATGTAAATTGGGATTCATTTTACTTCAGAACCAAACCAAAAAGAAGCAAATAAGCTTTGACTTTACCTCACCAAATGCATGGATTCATAGAAACGTAATCTGATTGGAAATTGTAACATTTGCAGGTGATAGACGATTCTCCAAATGGAAAGGATCAGTTGTTGACTCCGTGGTAGGAGTGTTTCTCACACAGAATGTATCAGATCATCTTTCAAGGTAAAGCCAACATTTTTAATAGAACTTTTGAGTGACGAACAAGATTACCTAAGCTGATGGTCTCTGCGTATATTTTCCCCTTGTGCAGTTCTGCTTTCATGTGTCTTGCAGCCAAATTCCCCCTGAAATCGACAATTATCAGACAATCATGCTATCAAAATGAAGTTAGCCCGTCAGTTGAAGAACATGAGGTTCAAGTAACTTGTCCAGATGGCACTATAACTTATGATCACAGCACAATAAGACAGCCAGTGTACAACCACAACTCTGTAACATCCAGTGAATCGTGTCAATATAGAGCAGGAAATGTTGTGACAGGAACAAGAAACTTTGCAATGGACAAGCAAAATAGAAGAGCAGAGGATGACGTAATTTCATCACAAAGTTCTTCTGAATCCCTTGTATTCCAAGCAAATGAAGATATCAGATCCAGCTCAGGATCAAATTCAGAAGCCGAAGATCAGATATCGGTGTGTCATTTAGGCAAAAACTGTGGCCCTCTGAATCTTTTTGAACAGGCTGAAAGAATGGCTGCATTACAGGAATATCAGCGTCGAGTGATGGGAAGTTCTTCTGCAAATAAAAATCTCCCTCAATCAGAAAATCCTGTGTACAACCTGCAAAATCAAGGACTGGATGGAGGCAGCAAGGCATATGCCAGTCCAATCACTTCCAATTTGCCGCATCATCAGAGGCCAATCCCTCCATCCACCAATTCCTGGTTGGGCATGAGAACAGGCTTGGAAGAATGGGAATCAAATTTCCTGGCATCTCCAGGAAAAGAAAGCATATCCTCTTTGGCTTCAACAGATTTTGAGAATACCAAGACAACAGATGCAGAAAGAAGTTTTATCAACCAACAGACTGAAAGACCAGATCCAGCAACAAGAGTGGACCATACAATTCAAAACAAGTGCCTTGAACCACAGACTAATATACAATCTGGGTATCAAAGCAGAGAGGGCCAACATTCCACCAACTGCAACAGAGGAAGCCACAAGACCACTCAGCAAGAAAGCAACTTCCTATCAGACTGCACAATGCCTGCTGAAGCATTCAATGAAAAGCCAAATGGTAATATCCTTGAAAACCCTGACATCACTAGCTTTACTGGACAAAATTTTTATGTACAGGTTCAAATTGTTGTAGATATTTTCCTACATTTGAAGAATAAAATATCTAAACCACATGACGCAGGACAAGTAAATTCTTCTACCAAACCAACAAATTGGACAGGTCCCACAAGTTCAAATGCAAGAAAGACAAAAGTTGAGAAGGAAAAGAGAGAAGCATGTCTTTGGGATGAGTTGAGAAAGCAGGCACAATTGGAGGTGGGAAAAAGAGAGAGAACTGAGGAAACAATGGACTCTTTGGACTATGAAGCATTAAGAAAGGCTAATGTTCGTGAGATTTCTGAAACAATCAAGGAAAGGGGAATGAACAACATGCTAGCAGAGAGAATTAAGGTTAGTAGAATGTTTATAAAGCGGACTCCAATAAAACTACCGATAGTCCATTAAAACCTAAAGCACAGAGTATAACACTAGTTGGATATTCTATAGGATTTTCTCAATCGACTGGTTGACGACCATGGAGGAATGGATCTGGAATGGTTGAGAGACGTTCCACCAGAAAAGTCAAAGTAAGTTTCCTAAAAGAAATTAATCCTTTCATGACCCATCTTTGGAAAGTATGTAATGGAAGGCAAGGACATGTCATCCAGTATCTCTGCCATCTCTAAAGTTTCACTCTTTGCCTCTGAGTACATAATGCCTTGCAGAGATTATCTACTAAGCATACGAGGACTGGGGTTAAAGAGCGTGGAGTGCGTACGCCTATTAACACTTCATAACCTTGCATTCCCTGTAAGGCCATTTGCCTGTATAGAAAACTTATACCCAATATCAATAAGCAAAAAAAGGAAAAAAAAAAAAAAAGAAGAAGTCTTACCCTAACTATGTGGTTTCTTAGGTTGACACAAATGTTGGACGAATTGCCGTGCGACTTGGATGGGTGCCTCTCCAGCCACTACCTGAGGCACTCCAATTGCATCTCCTTGAATTGTAAGTACATGCCAAGCAATCAACAGTGAAGTTTATGAGCTACTCTTGATTCTAATTTTGTTTCATGCAGGTACCCAGTTCTGGAATCTATCCAGAAATATCTTTGGCCCAGACTCTGTAAGCTGGATCAGAAAACATTGTAATTTCCTTTCTCAGAGTGACTCATTTCAATTCGAAAATCTCTTATTATCGACAGTTTAATCAGAAGAAATTTTTATACATACCTGGAGAAGTTCTACTGATTTATATATTATGGAACTGCAGGTATGAGCTACACTATCAAATGATAACATTTGGAAAGGTATGTCTTCACTGGAGCTCATTATCGTCCTCGGTACATGAGAGGTTCATAATAGATAGTTTCTTAATCTTGGATACAGGTTTTCTGCACAAAGAAACAACCAAATTGTAATGCATGCCCAATGAGAGGAGAGTGCCGACACTTTGCTAGTGCTTTCGCAAGGTTAGCCTTCTATAACCTCGTAATCTTATTTGGCTGTGACATCAGAAATTAATACGCATAAATATGACAATTATACTTTGTTTTATACAGCGCAAGACTTGCCCTCCCTGGGCTAGGGGTATTTACATGTGATCGATGACATAAATCCTTCTACTTCCCATGTCTTGTGCATCCCTGTTTCACACAATGAACGTTACATTCACTAGGTTTTACTTCCATGTTTTGTGCATACTATTTTGCGTAATCAATGTCATACCTTCTAGGTGTAAATAACAAGTTCCATGTTTCAATCTTCATGTGCATCCACAAAGGAATAGATTCATTTTCACGTGATCAGGGACGTATGCCCCCTGCTTTTCAGTTTCATGCGTATCTTTCACGTGATCGGTGACATCACTCAATTTTCAAATAATTTTGAAAAAGAAAATTATGTAAATCCCAGTTCAATTTTATCATTTATTGAAGGTCTTGACATAATCCGTGTCCACAGATGTCAATCTAAACGGACAAGAATCATTAAACTTTCATGTAAACATATATATGAACAAAGAATATTGTTACAATTTTATCATTACTGATTGTTATGATGCTGCATTATGGCAGATGGACGGTTGGTTAACTACCGGCCCAATTATAATCTGAACTTACCACCACCAAGAACCGAAGCAGGTGCATCCACAAGTACACTCAGGCTCTTCCAATTAGGGCCAGCAACACCAGATCAGCAAAACAAATCAAAGAACTTCCGGCCCACTGGAGCACCACATTGGTTGGTAGACAAAATCCCAATTCAAGAAAATGATGATATAGAGAATGTTTTCTCTCAACAACCTAAAATTGCAGAGAAACAATCTAATCAATTATTGCAGAACATTGTGGACGAATATGCAGCCATACTGAAATTGCCAAAAGAAAAGAGCATTTCTGATAATGGAAGTCGTCTAGTGTTATCTCAACCACCTGAAATTGTAGAGAAACGATCTAATCAAATAATGCAGAACATTGTGGACGAATCTACTTCCACATTGGAATTGCCAAAGGAAAAGAACGTGTCTGATGATGGAAATCATGAAGGAATTAATATGAACAAGACACCACAGCAGAAACCATCCAGAAGAAGAAAACACCGACCAAAAGTAGTAGTGGAAGGGAAACCCAAAAGGACACCAAAGCCTACCACAAAAAATAATAGCCCCGATGGAAATCCTTTGGGTAAAAGGAAGTATGTGCGCAAAAAGGACATCAAAACCTCCACAACTCCACTGGCTGGTGTAGTGAACGAAGTTGGAGTCTCTAACGTGAACTCTGCAGAAAAATCATGCAGGAGAATGTTAAACTTTGACTTGGAAAATGGAGCAGAAAAGCAAAGCAGGGACAGAGCAATTGGTAACCAAGAAGAGATAAATGAAAAGAGAAAGATGCCTTTTACTTGGAACTTGGATTTTCACAATGCAGAGGGGCATATGGGATTCAACGCAGAATCTACATCATCTTCAGTGAAGGAATGGCATCAAAGCGTACGTAGCATGGAGAAACGACAAACGGAGAATCCACAAAGTTTTGTCCCCTTTGTACATCACACCCCACTGCAATTACCGTTGCCATTTCCAACTTCAGCACCATCTTCAGCAAGGGATCATACATTAAATGTCATAGCAAGGAGATTGAGTATGCGAAATGCTAATATAAACCAAAGGGGAAGCCCGAGTTGGTACAGTCAGGTGGATCATAGTGTCAGTGGAGTACGACAGGCCCAGTTTGCCATACAAACACATGCAAATGAAACAAAGGTAGATGGAAGAAGGCAACCAATGCTGCAGACTGGGACTCAACTCCTGGATGATCTGGTGGACATCATTGACAGGAGAGGATCCAAGAGAGAATATTCCCAAACTGAGCTGACACAACCAGAAACTTCTGCGCTGATGGGCACTCAACTATTGTGCCAGGGAGTTTCTGAGACCGGCTATTGTGCCAGTGAGAGCAACAAATTATGGCAAGATGGTTTAGAAACTAGTAAGAGAAGGAAGGTTGATGATAACTTTCATGTAACCTCATCAAGCACGCCTTCTAACATAACTTTTGAACATTGCTCAAGACAAGTCGAAGGAAGAGACGTGAAAAGTGTCTGTGCAAATGGCTCTACTTTACACCTGAATGGTGGACTACCATATTCTGACTTTGAAGGAAAGAGCACCTCCTGGAAGCCAGACAATGAAGCCAACAAGGTCCACGATCAGTATATGAACCCCGGAAACTTTCGACATGAATTTCAGCGGCAACTTACTTCATCTCAAGTTTATTCATTTGCAGAACATATGGTGCAGAACGTCACTTGTCACACTAATAAAGCCCAAAGCAGCAATTCCCTTGGTGCAATTCTATGGAATCAGGCGTCTTCATCTCAAAGGGGCCCTAAAATCATTCGAGGGAATGAAATAATAAATTCTTCTATTCACCTTTCGGTGAAGGAACAAACAGCTAGACTGAAATCATTCAACCAAGCAATTAATATGGAGAAAGTCATCAGTAAAGAGAACAAGACAAGGGGTTACAAAGGTCCCTCCAAAAACATCATAGATACCCATCTATTCGTCAAGTTATGCTGTTAGCATCAACATAACGTTGTTATTTAAAAATTTTAAGCAGTTTTTCTATGTTTTGTGCAGGCTCGCTTGGAGACAGCAGACGTTTATTTTCAGTTGATAATATTATAGAAAGTTTAAAATCTCTGAGCATCAACTGTAGTGGAAAGAAAATTGTTGGGGAGGAGCAAGGTGCACTTGTTCCATATAAACAAGATGGTGCTATCGTTCCATATGAAGAATTTGATCCAATTAAAAAACGACGGCCACGACCTAAAGTGGATCTTGATCCAGAGACAAATAGACTATGGAATCTTTTGATGGGTAAGGAAGGAAGTGAAAGCACAGAAACGACAGACAAGAATAAAGAAAAATGGTGGGAAGAAGAGAGGAAAGTGTTCCGCGGACGAGTAGACTCGTTCATTGCACGGATGCATCTTGTTCAAGGTATTTTCTCCCAGACAATGAAATTGTTGGCATCGCTGATACCATGCTTAAGCTATCCCTATTCCATTATCGATTCTATTTCATACATTATCTTTACATAACATGTTAGATAATATTAATCTTTTGATTAAATGTAAATGCACTCGAAATATACCATATATAAGTCCAAATTTTATAATTTTCTTAAACATGTGAAGATGATAATGTGAAATATACCTTAGGAATCTTAGGAGTTAATGATAAGTTTTGTTTTTGTTGTAAGAAAACAATAACAAATACAGCTAATTGTTTACACAAAGTAACAAGTTTTATTATTTAGAAATCATTGTGATTTGGGGAGTGTGTGAAGGGAGAGTATGGGGGAAGTCCGAGAGTGCAAAACCACAATGGTGCCACTATTGCTTTCTAGATAGGACTTTGAAGAAAGAGAATGGTTGTCTTTAGTGATCATAACCTGGAAATAATCACATGGTTCAGTTCACGTGTTGTAGCCACAACAATGAACAACAAAAATAATAAGCTTAGTAGTATTTGCAATAAACTTGTGCTAGCTACGTGAATCTGTTTTGTCCACTCCCTTCAGTGTGGTGAATCTCGTGAAAGGTCCAATGTACTCAAATCTTTTGCAACAAAATGTCTTGTTGACTTTAGTCTACTTGCTAAACTCAAATAACATCATTCTTGTGAATAGAGCTTATATGGATCTATGGAAGCCATGTACCAACCATCTAAATCATCCTTCCTTTAATATATCTCCAAATAGTATCAAATCCACTTGATGTATAACCTCAAATTTTTTTGTTTGATCTGTTCTTGTATTTCCACTCATCCATCTTAACATACTCATTTACGTTATAGACATTTTATTATTTAACAATATAACTAGTAAGGTATCTGTTCATAAAATTTATTTTAACATGGTGGATATATTCGATCATATATAATCCTTATAGTGCTTCTACAGTTTATTTTAATCGCCCTAATCCTATCCATCACATCCTCTTAAGTCTTGGTTTCTTATTTGCAACCAAATCTAAATACATAAACCAACATTATCTGGGAAATGATCCTCTACTGTGACTTTCCCATCACTCTTATTCCTAAAAGGATATTCTGTATAATTCATCTTAATTCTGCTTAATTGTTTAGTTTTAGGAAAGCACACTTAAATCAAAATACATAAACCAACATTATTTGAGAGATGATCCTCTATTGTGACTTTACCAACACTCTTATTCCTAAAAGGATATTCTGTATATTTCGTCTTAATTCTGCTTAATTGTTTAGTTTAAGGAAATCACACTTGAATATAAATACATAAACCAACATTATTTGAGAGATGATCCACTATTGTGACTTCACCACTCTTATTACTAAAATGATTTTCTGCATATTTTGTCTTAATTCTGCTTTTATTTAGTTTTAGGAAAGCACACTTAAATTAGTAAATGCCATAATAAATTCTAGTGTTATTTCTTGAAACTATGTAAATTGGGATTCATTTTACTTCAGAACCAAACCAAAAAGAAGCAAATAAGCTTTGACTTTACCTCACCAAATGCATGGATTCATAGAAACGTAATCTGATTGGAAATTGTAACATTTGCAGGTGATAGACGATTCTCCAAATGGAAAGGATCAGTTGTTGACTCCGTGGTAGGAGTGTTTCTCACACAGAATGTATCAGATCATCTTTCAAGGTAAAGCCAACATTTTTAATAGAACTTTTGAGTGACGAACAAGATTACCTAAGCTGATGGTCTCTGCGTATATTTTCCCCTTGTGCAGTTCTGCTTTCATGTGTCTTGCAGCCAAATTCCCCCTGAAATCGACAATTATCAGACAATCATGCTATCAAAATGAAGTTAGCCCATCAGTTGAAGAACATGAGGTTCAAGTAACTTGTCCAGATGGCACTATAACTTATGATCACAGCACAATAAGACAGCCAGTGTACAACCACAACTCTGTAACATCCAGTGAATCGTGTCAATATAGAGCAGGAAATGTTGTGACAGGAACAAGAAACTTTGCAATGGACAAGCAAAATAGAAGAGCAGAGGATGACGTAATTTCATCACAAAGTTCTTCTGAATCCCTTGTATTCCAAGCAAATGAAGATATCAGATCCAGCTCAGGATCAAATTCAGAAGCCGAAGATCAGATATCGGTGTGTCATTTAGGCAAAAACTGTGGCCCTCTGAATCTTTTTGAACAGGCTGAAAGAATGGCTGCATTACAGGAATATCAGCGTCGAGTGATGGGAAGTTCTTCTGCAAATAAAAATCTCCCTCAATCAGAAAATCCTGTGTACAACCTGCAAAATCAAGGACTGGATGGAGGCAGCAAGGCATATGCCAGTCCAATCACTTCCAATTTGCCGCATCATCAGAGGCCAATCCCTCCATCCACCAATTCCTGGTTGGGCATGAGAACAGGCTTGGAAGAATGGGAATCAAATTTCCTGGCATCTCCAGGAAAAGAAAGCATATCCTCTTTGGCTTCAACAGATTTTGAGAATACCAAGACAACAGATGCAGAAAGAAGTTTTATCAACCAACAGACTGAAAGACCAGATCCAGCAACAAGAGTGGACCATACAATTCAAAACAAGTGCCTTGAACCACAGACTAATATACAATCTGGGTATCAAAGCAGAGAGGGCCAACATTCCACCAACTGCAACAGAGGAAGCCACAAGACCACTCAGCAAGAAAGCAACTTCCTATCAGACTGCACAATGCCTGCTGAAGCATTCAATGAAAAGCCAAATGGTAATATCCTTGAAAACCCTGACATCACTAGCTTTACTGGACAAAATTTTTATGTACAGGTTCAAATTGTTGTAGATATTTTCCTACATTTGAAGAATAAAATATCTAAACCACATGACGCAGGACAAGTAAATTCTTCTACCAAACCAACAAATTGGACAGGTCCCACAAGTTCAAATGCAAGAAAGACAAAAGTTGAGAAGGAAAAGAGAGAAGCATGTCTTTGGGATGAGTTGAGAAAGCAGGCACAATTGGAGGTGGGAAAAAGAGAGAGAACTGAGGAAACAATGGACTCTTTGGACTATGAAGCATTAAGAAAGGCTAATGTTCGTGAGATTTCTGAAACAATCAAGGAAAGGGGAATGAACAACATGCTAGCAGAGAGAATTAAGGTTAGTAGAATGTTTATAAAGCGGACTCCAATAAAACTACCGATAGTCCATTAAAACCTAAAGCACAGAGTATAACACTAGTTGGATATTCTATAGGATTTTCTCAATCGACTGGTTGACGACCATGGAGGAATGGATCTGGAATGGTTGAGAGACGTTCCACCAGAAAAGTCAAAGTAAGTTTCCTAAAAGAAATTAATCCTTTCATGACCCATCTTTGGAAAGTATGTAATGGAAGGCAAGGACATGTCATCCAGTATCTCTGCCATCTCTAAAGTTTCACTCTTTGCCTCTGAGTACATAATGCCTTGCAGAGATTATCTACTAAGCATACGAGGACTGGGGTTAAAGAGCGTGGAGTGCGTACGCCTATTAACACTTCATAACCTTGCATTCCCTGTAAGGCCATTTGCCTGTATAGAAAACTTATACCCAATATCAATAAGCAAAAAAAGGAAAAAAAAAAAAAAAGAAGAAGTCTTACCCTAACTATGTGGTTTCTTAGGTTGACACAAATGTTGGACGAATTGCCGTGCGACTTGGATGGGTGCCTCTCCAGCCACTACCTGAGGCACTCCAATTGCATCTCCTTGAATTGTAAGTACATGCCAAGCAATCAACAGTGAAGTTTATGAGCTACTCTTGATTCTAATTTTGTTTCATGCAGGTACCCAGTTCTGGAATCTATCCAGAAATATCTTTGGCCCAGACTCTGTAAGCTGGATCAGAAAACATTGTAATTTCCTTTCTCAGAGTGACTCATTTCAATTCGAAAATCTCTTATTATCGACAGTTTAATCAGAAGAAATTTTTATACATACCTGGAGAAGTTCTACTGATTTATATATTATGGAACTGCAGGTATGAGCTACACTATCAAATGATAACATTTGGAAAGGTATGTCTTCACTGGAGCTCATTATCGTCCTCGGTACATGAGAGGTTCATAATAGATAGTTTCTTAATCTTGGATACAGGTTTTCTGCACAAAGAAACAACCAAATTGTAATGCATGCCCAATGAGAGGAGAGTGCCGACACTTTGCTAGTGCTTTCGCAAGGTTAGCCTTCTATAACCTCGTAATCTTATTTGGCTGTGACATCAGAAATTAATACGCATAAATATGACAATTATACTTTGTTTTATACAGCGCAAGACTTGCCCTCCCTGGGCTAGAAGAGAAAAGCATTGTCGCGTCTACTCCTCGAACGACTGCCAATGAAAACCCTGGTGTAACAATAAAGCCAATGTCACTACCACCAGTAGGTGACAATTCAGACAGAGAAACAGGGTTAAGTACCTGTGAACCTATAATTGAAGAACCCACAACGCCAGAACCACCTGTGGAACTGTCAGAAACTGGAAAATCATTGTGATTTGGGGAGTGTGTGAAGGGAGAGTATGGGGGAAGTCCGAGAGTGCAAAACCACAATGGTGCCACTATTGCTTTCTAGATAGGACTTTGAAGAAAGAGAATGGTTGTCTTTAGTGATCATAACCTGGAAATAATCACATGGTTCAGTTCACGTGTTGTAGCCACAACAATGAACAACAAAAATAATAAGCTTAGTAGTATTTGCAATAAACTTGTGCTAGCTACGTGAATCTGTTTTGTCCACTCCCTTCAGTGTGGTGAATCTCGTGAAAGGTCCAATGTACTCAAATCTTTTGCAACAAAATGTCTTGTTGACTTTAGTCTACTTGCTAAACTCAAATAACATCATTCTTGTGAATAGAGCTTATATGGATCTATGGAAGCCATGTACCAACCATCTAAATCATCCTTCCTTTAATATATCTCCAAATAGTATCAAATCCACTTGATGTATAACCTCAAATTTTTTTGTTTGATCTGTTCTTGTATTTCCACTCATCCATCTTAACATACTCATTTACGTTATAGACATTTTATTATTTAACAATATAACTAGTAAGGTATCTGTTCATAAAATTTATTTTAACATGGTGGATATATTCGATCATATATAATCCTTATAGTGCTTCTACAGTTTATTTTAATCGCCCTAATCCTATCCATCACATCCTCTTAAGTCTTGGTTTCTTATTTGCAACCAAATCTAAATACATAAACCAACATTATCTGGGAAATGATCCTCTACTGTGACTTTCCCATCACTCTTATTCCTAAAAGGATATTCTGTATAATTCATCTTAATTCTGCTTAATTGTTTAGTTTTAGGAAAGCACACTTAAATCAAAATACATAAACCAACATTATTTGAGAGATGATCCTCTATTGTGACTTTACCAACACTCTTATTCCTAAAAGGATATTCTGTATATTTCGTCTTAATTCTGCTTAATTGTTTAGTTTTAGGAAAGCACACTTAAATCAAAATACATAAACCAACATTATTTGAGAGATGATCCTCTATTGTGACTTTACCAACACTCTTATTCCTAAAAGGATATTCTGTATATTTCGTCTTAATTCTGCTTAATTGTTTAGTTTAAGGAAATCACACTTGAATATAAATACATAAACCAACATTATTTGAGAGATGATCCACTATTGTGACTTCACCACTCTTATTACTAAAATGATTTTCTGCATATTTTGTCTTAATTCTGCTTTTATTTAGTTTTAGGAAAGCACACTTAAATTAGTAAATGCCATAATAAATTCTAGTGTTATTTCTTGAAACTATGTAAATTGGGATTCATTTTACTTCAGAACCAAACCAAAAAGAAGCAAATAAGCTTTGACTTTACCTCACCAAATGCATGGATTCATAGAAACGTAATCTGATTGGAAATTGTAACATTTGCAGGTGATAGACGATTCTCCAAATGGAAAGGATCAGTTGTTGACTCCGTGGTAGGAGTGTTTCTCACACAGAATGTATCAGATCATCTTTCAAGGTAAAGCCAACATTTTTAATAGAACTTTTGAGTGACGAACAAGATTACCTAAGCTGATGGTCTCTGCGTATATTTTCCCCTTGTGCAGTTCTGCTTTCATGTGTCTTGCAGCCAAATTCCCCCTGAAATCGACAATTATCAGACAATCATGCTATCAAAATGAAGTTAGCCCGTCAGTTGAAGAACATGAGGTTCAAGTAACTTGTCCAGATGGCACTATAACTTATGATCACAGCACAATAAGACAGCCAGTGTACAACCACAACTCTGTAACATCCAGTGAATCGTGTCAATATAGAGCAGGAAATGTTGTGACAGGAACAAGAAACTTTGCAATGGACAAGCAAAATAGAAGAGCAGAGGATGACGTAATTTCATCACAAAGTTCTTCTGAATCCCTTGTATTCCAAGCAAATGAAGATATCAGATCCAGCTCAGGATCAAATTCAGAAGCCGAAGATCAGATATCGGTGTGTCATTTAGGCAAAAACTGTGGCCCTCTGAATCTTTTTGAACAGGCTGAAAGAATGGCTGCATTACAGGAATATCAGCGTCGAGTGATGGGAAGTTCTTCTGCAAATAAAAATCTCCCTCAATCAGAAAATCCTGTGTACAACCTGCAAAATCAAGGACTGGATGGAGGCAGCAAGGCATATGCCAGTCCAATCACTTCCAATTTGCCGCATCATCAGAGGCCAATCCCTCCATCCACCAATTCCTGGTTGGGCATGAGAACAGGCTTGGAAGAATGGGAATCAAATTTCCTGGCATCTCCAGGAAAAGAAAGCATATCCTCTTTGGCTTCAACAGATTTTGAGAATACCAAGACAACAGATGCAGAAAGAAGTTTTATCAACCAACAGACTGAAAGACCAGATCCAGCAACAAGAGTGGACCATACAATTCAAAACAAGTGCCTTGAACCACAGACTAATATACAATCTGGGTATCAAAGCAGAGAGGGCCAACATTCCACCAACTGCAACAGAGGAAGCCACAAGACCACTCAGCAAGAAAGCAACTTCCTATCAGACTGCACAATGCCTGCTGAAGCATTCAATGAAAAGCCAAATGGTAATATCCTTGAAAACCCTGACATCACTAGCTTTACTGGACAAAATTTTTATGTACAGGTTCAAATTGTTGTAGATATTTTCCTACATTTGAAGAATAAAATATCTAAACCACATGACGCAGGACAAGTAAATTCTTCTACCAAACCAACAAATTGGACAGGTCCCACAAGTTCAAATGCAAGAAAGACAAAAGTTGAGAAGGAAAAGAGAGAAGCATGTCTTTGGGATGAGTTGAGAAAGCAGGCACAATTGGAGGTGGGAAAAAGAGAGAGAACTGAGGAAACAATGGACTCTTTGGACTATGAAGCATTAAGAAAGGCTAATGTTCGTGAGATTTCTGAAACAATCAAGGAAAGGGGAATGAACAACATGCTAGCAGAGAGAATTAAGGTTAGTAGAATGTTTATAAAGCGGACTCCAATAAAACTACCGATAGTCCATTAAAACCTAAAGCACAGAGTATAACACTAGTTGGATATTCTATAGGATTTTCTCAATCGACTGGTTGACGACCATGGAGGAATGGATCTGGAATGGTTGAGAGACGTTCCACCAGAAAAGTCAAAGTAAGTTTCCTAAAAGAAATTAATCCTTTCATGACCCATCTTTGGAAAGTATGTAATGGAAGGCAAGGACATGTCATCCAGTATCTCTGCCATCTCTAAAGTTTCACTCTTTGCCTCTGAGTACATAATGCCTTGCAGAGATTATCTACTAAGCATACGAGGACTGGGGTTAAAGAGCGTGGAGTGCGTACGCCTATTAACACTTCATAACCTTGCATTCCCTGTAAGGCCATTTGCCTGTATAGAAAACTTATACCCAATATCAATAAGCAAAAAAAGGAAAAAAAAAAAAAAAGAAGAAGTCTTACCCTAACTATGTGGTTTCTTAGGTTGACACAAATGTTGGACGAATTGCCGTGCGACTTGGATGGGTGCCTCTCCAGCCACTACCTGAGGCACTCCAATTGCATCTCCTTGAATTGTAAGTACATGCCAAGCAATCAACAGTGAAGTTTATGAGCTACTCTTGATTCTAATTTTGTTTCATGCAGGTACCCAGTTCTGGAATCTATCCAGAAATATCTTTGGCCCAGACTCTGTAAGCTGGATCAGAAAACATTGTAATTTCCTTTCTCAGAGTGACTCATTTCAATTCGAAAATCTCTTATTATCGACAGTTTAATCAGAAGAAATTTTTATACATACCTGGAGAAGTTCTACTGATTTATATATTATGGAACTGCAGGTATGAGCTACACTATCAAATGATAACATTTGGAAAGGTATGTCTTCACTGGAGCTCATTATCGTCCTCGGTACATGAGAGGTTCATAATAGATAGTTTCTTAATCTTGGATACAGGTTTTCTGCACAAAGAAACAACCAAATTGTAATGCATGCCCAATGAGAGGAGAGTGCCGACACTTTGCTAGTGCTTTCGCAAGGTTAGCCTTCTATAACCTCGTAATCTTATTTGGCTGTGACATCAGAAATTAATACGCATAAATATGACAATTATACTTTGTTTTATACAGCGCAAGACTTGCCCTCCCTGGGCTAGAAGAGAAAAGCATTGTCGCGTCTACTCCTCGAACGACTGCCAATGAAAACCCTGGTGTAACAATAAAGCCAATGTCACTACCACCAGTAGGTGACAATTCAGACAGAGAAACAGGGTTAAGTACCTGTGAACCTATAATTGAAGAACCCACAACGCCAGAACCACCTGTGGAACTGTCAGAAACTGATATTGAGGATGCATTCGATGAGGATCCCGACGAAATCCCTACAATCAAACTCAATATAGAACAGTTTGCTTCAAATTTGCAGAGCTTTATGCAAGAGCAGAACATGGAAACGAAAGAAACTAATTTGTCGAAAGCCCTTGTCACTTTGCGTCCAGAATTCGCTTCAATCCCAACGCCCAAACTGAAAAGCATGAGTAGACTGCGGACAGAGCACCAAGTGTAAGTATATGGCTTCATATGAAAACTCAACGGCATGAAATTCTAAAAGAAAAGGTCATTTATTGAAAAAAAAAAAAAAGATTTACAAGACACATGCAATGAGTTGCTAATTATCAGGGAGTTGCACAGAACTTGTGATCCTATACATTGGACCAAGCATCTTGGACTTACAATACGGGCAGCTACCAGATTGTTGAGAAACTACTTCATGATTTATGTTCTGCTAAAATAGTATTCACTCAAGAAAAGCCAATAATTAATTCATAATTTCTCATTTGTGAGGAATAACGGATACAGTTTCTCAACTCAGGATATAGATTGAAAAATAATAGAACCCAGGTACACCTTTAAGGATCAGAAACCTCACTAACATGATGCAACTTACTCATTCATCCATAAATAAACCTTGCATCCCAAGGCCTCAACACATATCTTAATTATATTGTCCTTGGGAAGTTATGATAAGTTAGTACTCATTTTTGGTGACTAATTACTCATCTGCTGCAGCTACGAACTCCCAGATGATCATCCACTACTGAAAGGGGTTAGTTATTTATCTTCTCATTTTCAAAATCTATTTTCTTATATGCAACTTGATTCTAACTGGCTAAAAAATTATTATATGTTTAGATGGAAAGGCGAGAAGCTGATGATCCTAGTCCATACCTTCTTGCTATATGGACCCCAGGTAAGCACTAGATTTACAGGGCAATTAATTGCTCTCAATTTAGCCAAATGCCCATAGATGAACAGAAATGCATTCCTCACTGTCATAGTGAAGGGAGGCTGAAGTATTTATTAATTTCTCTTCATAAACTCAAGCTGAAAAGTACTTTTATTATAACCTGCTGACACTTATCCCAATTTGGCATCATTTAAACAGGAGAGACTGCAGATTCAATCCAAGCACCTGAAAGTAAATGCAACCGTCAAGAATTAGGTGGACTGTGTGATAAGAAAATGTGCTTTTCATGCAATAGCATAAGAGAAGAAGAAACACAGACAGTCAGAGGCACACTTCTGGTAAGCAACATGTTACGAAAACCATTAGAAGTGAAAGCAAAATTATTAGATATTAGTAAATCCTTCCCCAATTCTCCCTTCTTTATGACATACCCACCTCCTTGCAGATTCCGTGCAGAACAGCAATGAGAGGGAGTTTCCCACTGAATGGTACTTACTTCCAAGTCAATGAGGTAACAATAGTAACTATACAATTTTTGCGCAGAGAATCATGTTTCCTACTCCTCTGTAAATACTTAATATTATCACTCTTTAACATGACATGATCCTCATTGTGTGTCCACCGTCATCCTATTCCTACTATGACTAAGCCCCTGTTTGGCTCCCATTTTGTGGTAATGAAAATGGGTGGAATAGTGTTTTTTTGAAAAATGAGTGGTTGAAAAAGAAGAAAAAGTTTTCGATTTATGTGTAATATTATTTTATGGAAGATTGTATGGTTGAAAATAGGAGAAAGAAAAATGAAATGTAATAGACTAAAAATTAATGTGGGCCAAACGGGGGCTAAAAAGAACATTTATGCATCATCTAATAATACTTAGCAAAGCACCTTCAGATTCCAAAGTATCATCAAAAGTTTTTTCCTACAATTTATCCCCTCGTAGCTTATACTTCTCAAAATCCATCATATTAATATTTTGTTAAGTTTCTATAAAATAATATTGTAATGTTAAGTACTACAGCTTCTCGTTCTATAGCCAAATCAATTTCAATCTAAAAAACTCTATTTTTGAATAATTTTAATTGTATAGAGAAACAGGGATTAATAAATCTTATGCAGGTATTTGCGGATCATGAATCTAGCCTTAATCCTATCAGTGTTCCAAGAAATATGCTATGGAGCCTGCCAAGACGGACAGTTTTCTTTGGGACCTCTGTCTCAACCATTTTTAAAGGTACATAATTTCCCATTTTGTACTGACTATTACATAAAAAGTGACTTATCAAAATATACTACATTTTGCTAGGCTTGACAACTGAAGGTATCCAATACTGCTTCTGGAGAGGTATGACTGCTTTCTGAATTCAAATTAACCAAACCTAATATTTCAATCCTCCGTAATTGGAACAAGACTCGGCCGCATGTACATTTTATTCAGAAGAGATAATTTTTTGGCAATCTTTTCTAGCTGATGTCATTCAACTTTATATTGTAGGATTTGTTTGTGTTCGAGGATTTGAGCACAAAACGCGAGCACCAAGACCTCTGGTGGCCAGATTGCATTACCCTGCAAGCAGGACGCCCCAGAAAAAGGAGAAAAAATAAGAGAAGAAATGGTGCTGGGCGAGTTGAAAGTTTGAGAACCTAACCAATAAATGTCCACACCAAAATTAAATAAGGGACTGACGTAGGATTAGAAAGCAACAGATTGTTTACATTCAAGCGCACAACTCTTCACATGAGTTATAGTTATTTGTAGTTTAGGTGGTAGAAAAGAAAAAAATTAAGATATAGGATGAGATTCAATTGACAATGTTGTACATCATAGACAGTTCAGATCTTTTTCAAATTATGCTCATTGACGGAGCCGTTTTTCAATGTCGATAGAGAAAGGTAGAAGTCAAGAAATAGAATTGGGATGTAGTATCATTGGGATTACATGTATTCATACATTTCTTCTGAGTCTTCTAATAGAGGCCTTGGATGCATTTTGTTTTGATTTGTTTTACTATAGCCTATACGTCTTTATATGCACTCCAGTATGACACGAATAACAGGAATGCAGAATAAACTCCTTAACGATGAAAAGTGAAATAACTCGTTTTATAATGTACCTTATAACCAGATAAAACACATTTTTTTATATGCTTAAAAATAGCTTTAAAGCTATCTTCGGGAGAATATTTAGAGATATACCTATTGAAAAAGTAACTTTTAAGTTGCTTTATCACATTTGACATGCTCTCTGTCTTCATGAAAATAGAAAACATGGAATCTACTACGTTCATTGCAAGCAAAACAAGCATTGACGTTGCCCTCACGGGCATGACGCATTGGTAAAGCAGAAGGGTTCTATATGGAGCATCAGAAGTTCGAATCTCCACGACAGCTGAAAGACAACATTTATGTTGAAATGCAACAGTCTATGGAAGCAAAATTATGGTGCGCTTTATCAGCCCTCCGAGTGTTCTATCCTCGGGTCGTAAAGGGAGGTCTACAAGAAGGAGAACCGCATCCCGAATATCCAGCTCAAGTGTGTATAAGCTGTGATCGTATTCGGATTTACCTGAGTGGCGAACAAGGGAGAAGATTATAAAAAAAAAAAAAAAAGCATTGACGTGAAATTATCACTTCCTTTTAGGTGAGAGTTAATTTTACAACTTCAGCACTTCTAATTGATCAACAGACCAACCTGTGGGGGAATAGAAAATGCAGACTGGTATCTGTGTAATTCAAATTGACCAGCACAATCTATGACAATCAACAACAAGAAGCATACATGGGAAAATAACTAAAATTTCAATATCTAACGAGTAAATCCATTGTCCAAATTATAAAAATATTCAGTGAAGGAAAAAAAAAAACAGATATCTTATCTGCAATGAACATACCCCAAGAATTTGTATGCATTTCCCCTTCCAAGCATAAAAGCATACTGGCTTGCTTCAGAGCCATGCTGTGACGCTATTTTACTTTTACACGAGAATCCTGTACAAAGTTGTAACAGAAACCTAAGTATTTTTATCAGGAAAATTATAATGAGCTAATCAAAAACATCCCCCATTCGTTTTCGTTACGATTTTGAGAAATACCCGCCACAATTTATTGCTTTTATTCAAATCCTGGGACACAGTTGCTATATTCTGTGTATAAAACGCTTATCATAGTAATCCTCACAGTATTTAGCAAAGAATGAAAAGCGCAGACAAATCCATTCAGAGTTCTCGATAAATACTCAAAATCAAAGTTCAGATTCTTCTGGAATAAAAACACGTGAATAGGGTTGAGGGGTGACGGATACTGATTAATATTATATATTCCAATCAAATTGCATCGGATTCAAGTAAAGATTTACAGTACCTGTATGCGTCGAGATGGGGAACCGAGAGCGGCGAGAGAGTGAAGAGGCGTGCAAAAGTTTTGCCTCCATATATTTGAGAGTTTGCCGCCATATTCTAAATTATTTTTTTTTCTTTTTTTCTTTTTCCTTCTTAGGTAAGCGAGGTAAAAGAGATTTTAAATCACAAATTCTCCAAAAAAAAAAAATAATAATAATAATAATAATAATAATAATAAAATTACTATTCTTATTTTTCCAAATAATGGGTGACAAATGGGGTTTAATAATTTTAACTATTACGTGCCATCGTTCAAAGCCCCTGTTTGGAAGCCATTCTTATCAAATTTTTAGTGAAATTCTTATTGTTATGCCGTGAAATCAGCCACTTATGTTGACCAAGCCAAGCAGAATTTTGATTTTGGAGTCAATAATTACGTCTAGAATTTTGATTAAAATCAGGCAAGAATAGCTCCGAGCCACTTTTTATTTTTTATCATTTTCCCTATAAACTTTCTTGCCCTTTCATTTATTATTCCCCTATTTCTTCTTATTGAAACTCTTATGGTAATTAACCTGACTATAATTGCAAACCCATTTAGATTGAGGTTTAGTATTGGACAGAGTCTCAACATGAAGAGCTTCTCTATGTTCTGATCTTAATTCTAGTTCTCTATTCATTAAAGAACTATGAATTATATCAACGGTGAAGTCATACCTACCATACTCTAATGCATTTCTTATGTCCTTGTGCTTGTCACCAAGGGCATTAAGTGGATCAATTACTTTCTGATCACTTCAAATCTTCTCCCAACAGTTGATAAGATCTTGTGTGATCCTATTGAACTTAACAATGTTCTCTTCCAAGTCAGTACTAGGGTCAAACTTATAACTAAAGAATTGTTTCCAAGGAAAACACCTATTTGGTAAAGTTTTAATGAGGTATTTTTTTCTAAGGCGTCCCATAACTCAACCACAGTCTTTGTTTCTCCTATCTTTCTAATTATAGAATCAGATATATGGAGGAATATGGTACTCCAAGCCAATTCATCATGTTTGATTTTCCCATCAATAGGGGTGTTTTCTGCCCAAGATTGGTCTATAGCTTTGGTATATTTTAAATATGTGCTTTAATTTTCTAGCACCAGCGATTAGAGTCTCATTTGCCATACATCTGAACATCTACTTTGGTCATCATTGTGTGCACAAGTGTAGTAACATTACTCAAAAAATTACAAGGAATAAGTAGAGAGATATCATAAAGATCAATTAGATATATAGAAAACTTATAATAGCAGAAATGATAGAAGTTATACTACAAATGTATATACTCAATTATGTTTATACTCAATAAACAATATGAATTTAAAGCATGCAAATTACATTTAATGTGCATCCAAGAATTCATACTATACAATATGAAGCAGATATAAGTATCAACATACAGTTTCAGGAGTCACTAGTATTTGCAATGTATACAGATACAAATCTAAACATTTATCTCACGAAAGAAACAATAAATATCACTTATGGGTATCCTTAGACCAAAGCCTACTTCCCTCAGATTTCAGGGTTATCTCAGGGATCCCTAGACAAAGGTAAATATATGAAGGTTTTCAGGAATCCAATAGGAATAGACTAATGGTTTTTGAAAACAAAGAGAATAGTTTAGGTATCTGTTTAAAAAATAAAACTGTAGGATCGTAGATATACAAAAATACCGGAGACCTGCTTCCCAAAAAAATGGATCGAGTGGTTTCTTGACCAAAAATTTATAGATCCTTTTAGGTCTAAAACTTTACGGTGTATTCCCATATCAAAAAATGAACTAGATCGATTTGAAAGGAAAAAAAGTTGCAATGAATAGTTTTCCAAAAGCGCTGATACCATTGTTAGTCCTAGGAGAAACAAGTCGAGTTTTTACAAAGATTTTCTTTTGTAAAATAGTAAAGAAATTAAGTAAAAACAACAATACTACAAAAATTTTCGACCAAAGGCCCCGGAGGTTCAACGACCACTCATCCTTAAGGATATTGCTCGAATCGACAATAAAGCTCCAAATGAGGGCAAAGATAAAGTACATAACGAAACAATAAAGGTTTCAAATGAAACCTTAATATCTCAAACTCTCCTTTTACAATAATCTCTCACAAAGAGAACACGAGTTACACCACTATATTCTTCTCTCAAGGCACAGTAAATTCACATAGAAATCACTCGAGATCATCCGGTTGATGACTTGATATGTACACAAATCAAAAGGAGTTTTTCACAAAGACGGAGACAAAAATAACTAAAATTTCAATATCTAACAAGTAAATCCATTGTCCAAATTATAAAAATATTCAGTGAAGGAAAAAAAAAAACAGATATCTTATCTGCAATGAACATACCCCAAGAATTTGTATGCATTTCCCCTTCCAAGCATAAAAGCATACTCAATTTTTAAAAATATTCCTAATTTTCCATGTTTTTAAGGAAAAATATTTTCTTTGGGAAGATGTGGTTTTTATTTCCTTCAAAACAAGGAGAATATTTTATTTTTTAGGTGATATTTTTCATGTCAATCAAACAAACTCTAAAAGTCGCATGTTGTGTAACTTTCTCTTCAAAAATCACTCTTTAAAAAAGAAAAATAGTCACGTAATATTTATTTTGACTTATTTGATATAGAAGTTTTTGCTAAACTTAATTTGCAATTATTGGATCCATTTAATATGAGCTTAGAGGTATCTATTTTATAAGAATATCAAAGATTAACCTAATCCCATCAAAGCTCGAAAACAGAGTTCACAAACCATCACCAAACCAAGATGGCAGAAACGTCTCTAAAAAATCAGTAGATGTTCAAAACAATACACTTCAAGCCCATGAATTAATATAAATATTAGACATGAACTCGGGGAGATTATTTTTACGACAAAAGCTTTGATGACGGCCATGTAAAAGCATCTCCAAAGGTGGTGTAAAATTGGGTGTAAATTGATATTTTCAAAATCACTTTTACATCCTCAGTTACATTTCGATGGATCTAACTTCAAATTCGTCTCCAATTAAAAGATCTCAATCTATCTTTTGTCTCTTATGGAATGAAATAAAAATATGTATTTTCTTTTTTAATATTTTCTATCAAAATATAATTTGCATCTCATTTATATCTCTCAATTGGTGAGATTTTCGATCACTTTGAAGATCTAAATCTCTATTTTACACACCATTGAAGGTGCTCTAAGCATCTAATGAAAGAAAATGAGACACATCTATTAAGTACGAATACGATAAAGATAATATTGTATAACGTGTGAATAATTAATAAACATGATATGAAAGATCTTCTTTCGAAAAAAAAAAGGGTATTGAGAATGTTTATAGCCGACTATCAATTAAAACTTTAACATGTTTGAGAGTCATTTGAACAACGGGAAAATAAGTAGAATTTTTATTAAGAGGAGGCTAATAAAACGATAAAAAATAGTAAATTAAGATACTTTGTTCATGTTTGAAACTTGAAAGTAAGACGCAAGTCATCTACATTTTATTAGCATGAATTGATGGGCTTAGACTTAGATTCCCAATGGGAAGGAAACAAATCCAGAAATGGAAAAGGATAAAAGAAAGCGACCACAGTGGGAGTCGAACCCACGACCTTTTGATCCGAAGTCAAACGCGCTAATCCACTGCGCTATGCGGTCTTCTTGGAGTAGAATTGTTTTTATATAAATTATTATTCGTCAATTTTATGTCAAAATTCTAACAGTCAAAAGGCACTCTCATGCTCTTTCCGTTTTTGCAAGCCCTTGAAGGAATGAAATTTTTCTGAGTACATATTCTTGGAGGTAGTCGAACGAGCACTCTATTCCCAGCTTATAAAAACCTTACATTGAGACATAGGTCAGGTTACTCCATTTATAAATTTGGTAAACTAATAGGACTTGGATCGATTGACTTGATAGAACCGACAGCATAAATTGACACTATAGCGACAAATCACTATCGCCATATATACATAAAGCTACGAGTAGAACAATCTACTTCCAGGACTCAATCTCAACGATGGTGCCACCAACTTCTGCGCATTCCCTTCAAAGCAACAACACAAATCTTGTGGCCAAAGAACTTATCCATGCACTCTCTAGTTGTTTCCTGTTTTTATTACAGACAATCAACACGCAGATGCACCCTCGGATCGACACTGGAGCTCCTGGGCGGGGCCTGGCATCTGGTTGTCAAGGGATCTAGACGAATGCATGTGGCAATTTGACAAGCACGGACAATAATGCAAGTTGATAGATTGCATGCTGTATTGGGATCGGAATGCTGAACTAAACATCGACTGCATGAACCACTTTCTCTCGGGAAGCTCGTTCAGAGAAATTCGACATACAGGACATGTGGAGTGCTTGTGCAGCCATATGTCGATACATGATGCGTGAAAGGAATGTCCACAGACGGGCAGGATACGTAGTGTATCTTCCTCGTTGTACTCAGCAAGGCACACAGTACACCTGTGGAGATGATTTTAACATTAGAGTGGCAAGTAAAAATAATTAAAAATGAACCTCTTATTGGTTTCAAAATCAAAAACCCCCTCCACCCACCGCACAACAAAAATAAAAATAAAATCCTAAATGGTTCCAGCATCCATTAACTCAAAATGATTAGACGCCTCTCTTACAAGACTTGTGATGTTTAGTCCCTTATTTTTTAAGTCGATGGAGTAAGAGAACGAAAAAGGGACGAACAAAGGAAACGTATTTTAGTTAGGTATGATATACTTTGTATTCATATCGAAGCAATCAAGAAATTAAGTTCCTGGGATGACTGGAAGTTTGGAGACTCGTGCAAAACTAGAGCTGGGGAACGGAAGCAGCTGTATTGTGATGTGAGTTTTCTCAGACGGGGTATCCAGTGATCCATTAAGTATGGCACAAGTCAATAAGTACAAAGATTTCTGGGATTGGGATAAGTACAGAGATAAGAGCAGTTTGATCTGGTGAGATGTAAATCATGGTAGCAACCGCTTGTTTTGTCAGCCAATTTGAAAGAGAAAGAAGCAGTTCCGTGGGGGTAGCGGTTGAAGAACAGGCATAAAGGGGAAGTGACAGAGACTCTCGTGGATGGGGAAAAATTATGTAGCTTCCTTCTCAATTTTATCATTTAGCATACAGTTCATTCTCCTGAGGAACTTTCTAACAACTACCTCCAACAGAAATTTTTTCTAGAAAAGCATGAACACGCCTAACATTTAGGATGATGATCTTTGTGTTGAGAATAAGGTTAATGTTGTAACCGAGATGCATTGCGGTATCTTCTAGAGATATTATTGTCAAAAATTAGTTGAGAAATTCTGATAGCGGACATCACAAAGTGCTGTTTTCCAACTATTACAAACACAAGGAGAAATACTTCATGGCCCCCAAACATGCATATTTAAATAACCATAACTTCCCATGCACAGCTTTTAAACTGCCCTTTTGAGCTTATCTTGAATGTTGAAGTCATTTGACTTGTCTCTGACGTTTCACTGGGAGTCAACATTCCAGACTCTTTCCTTATCCACTCGTTAATAGCTATATTTTGGTTAATTTCACTTAGTCTAAGCATTAGATCATATTGAAGGAGTTGCTCAATTAAAATTTATGTAACTGCACTCACAAAACTCCAAACATTTTTTCGGGACATTTTTTTTTTCATGAACTGCAACAAAAAATTTATGAAGTCCCAGCACCTCTGGCTCTTGCTACTGCTGCAATTTCCAATAGTTTATCACCTAATCACGGAACTCCAACCAATATCAGTTTCTCCATCCAAATACTCAAGGGCAATATTTAAATCTTTTGCACGGTACCGCTATCTAACAATTGTTGGCTAAGAAATGGTTGGTTTATCAATTATTGAACCTAAGGTTTATCAATGACCTCCTCATTGGTTCAGGATGAAGACAGACATTCTAGCCTAGTATCATCATATTCACATTAAGGTAATTCTAGAGATAAACTTTATAATATTGTACGAAGCACAAACCCTCGCAAGCACATGTTTGAGACCCCTTTGACCATGTCCAAAAAGAAAAGAAAAGTCAAAATTCAAACATAAGACAGAGTCAAGAAACTTTTCTAACACTGAATAATATATAGAAGGAGAAACACATATAAATCATCCTTTTTAGCAGTATTTCCTTCAACCAAGAGAATAAAACTAAAAATAAAAATAAAAAATACAAGTTTTCTATGTCACTACCTAACAAATAGCTAATGAGCAAATAGTCAAATCACTTAATCACGCAAGATTCACCATGTGTCTATCCTGGATAAAAATGTCTTCATCAAATTAATTTCTCCTAAATAAATCAAAAGAAAAAAACAACAGAACACTTGGTGGAGCATCATAAGACATTCAGCAAACTATAAGATATTAAAGTTGAACAACTTACTGAGCATTTTCTTTTGAAGACCAGGACATATCTTTATACTTCTTGATGGGAAAATTAGCCACCACGAGAGGCTCAAGGCCATTCAGACCCCGCTCCAACTGTTGACAAAGTGAATGATACACCCCTTCAGTTTAAAATAGTTACAAGTGATCCAGAATCATAAATTCTTCTGGTCAAGTAAGATTCTAAAGTTAGACTTATTATAAATAGCTACATCTTAGAGTGAAAACAACTCTTTCACAAAAATGGACAAAAACAAATGAAAGAAGAAAGTAACCTAACAAGAATAGTTTTCTTGGCACATATACTATTGTAGCATAAGTAATTTTTGCCACACTGTCACAAGGATGAAGAGCATGATAATCCAACAAAAATTATACAAAATGGGCAGACTTTTGGAAACCACACGATTGAATAAATGCAGAAAAGACCAAAGAGGTGCAATATAATTATGTATGCGTAAATCTTAACAGCTTAAAATTGTCAATTATTGCCATTCGAACCTCAAACACACTGCTATCTAATTTCAATCGAGCAAACACAATGAAAGCATAATAAAATCACATCCCAACTTAATGTTTGGTAATCAAAACTATTTGGGCCCCAACAAATGAATTCTAATTCTCAACTCTTTTGAGATTCTTTTTCATATCTGGACATGGAATTGACCATACAGAATGATAAATCCTAATTACATCAAATATAAAATTGCAAAGAAACCATGTAACTACAAAATATGCTTTTAAATCAGAAATGAAATATGAACATCTAGAGGAAACAAATACTTACAATGCTAAGATCAGACCTAGAACCCGTGGCTAAAGCCCGTCTCGACGCATTTAACTGAATTCTAGCCCATATGAGTCTTGTACACACAAACACTATGAACAAGGTACTCAATGCAAACCCAATCACTGTCATCACCAAATTTATCTGTGAAGTCATCATTATTCCTTTCTAGATGCTGGCACTACAGTAAAATTAGATGCCCAACTCAATATTTTCTGTACACTCAGTGTCTCACACAGAAATTCTTAGAAATATTCAAACCCTACACTCTTCATAACAACTAAACCATTCCACACAAAACCCACTTCATAAAATCAATTAACTAACTTATAAAGCCTAAAAAACTCTGTCAAATCATCACTACTAGTCTATCTCCTACTTCCCCACTTTAAAAAAAAACCCTTCTTTATTCTGATTTCTGTATCTGGCATCCACGTTTCTTTCTCAGCAGGAATAGTAACAGTGTAAATTTTCAAGACCTTAACAAGATCGTGAAAGGGCTACTGGTGTTGGGGGAAAGAATCCATGGTGGAATTGGTCGGGGCCAGCATCTGAGGAGCCCCATTGGTAGAAAAACACCAGAGGGGAGGGATTATAAATTTATAATAGTGTGATTAAGAAAGATTAGCGTCATAAACAACATTCAAGTAGGAGAAAGGGACAGAAAAGGGATCTGAGATCCAAAATGATTGTTCACGGCATGTGAAAATCAAATCGAGCAAAAAATAATGAAAAAGAAAGCATATCAGAACAAACAACTTGTGACAGTGCTCGCTTTTTATTTCACCGTCCTAATCCATTTGATGAATATTCCACTCGCCTTTAATTCTTCTGTGCATTTGAACTATCCGCTGTTCAATTTTTATCCATTCAATTAATTATTCATATAATTTTTTAGAGTGATTTTTTCTTCAAAAAAATTGATTTTTTGATCGCCATCTTCCTCCATTCACTTCTTGTACAACTTTTATAGATAAAAATGTGACAAAACTCTATTCATATATATTAATCTAAATTTTTACGTAAGACAATTACAATTGAGCACTAGATATCACAAAAACAATTTTCCGTACCCAATTATTCATTTAGTGAAACACTTGACATAGAAATTCAATTATTAGAGTAGATAAGTTTATTCACGTACCAAAGATTGATAAGTGTATATCACTTCTACAAATGAGATGTCAACAAAACTTTGACTTTATATTTTTTAACTGATCTCATTTTGTAATAGCTTCGGAGCAAACAATATTTTCATGATTACGATTCTATTCTTCTTAACCAAGTCATTAGAGCTATTTGCGGATTCGGCTCCGATGGAAAAGGTGGCCCACCATAGGAAATGCAAAATGATAGAAGAGTTCGCTCCCCAAGGTCTCTCATGGCAAATGATTTATAAAGTGTCTGAATAAATTGATGGAGCATAGAAGAATCGTAATCAATTATTTATTCATTGAAATGCTTAAAGTGAAAATTCAATTATAGAGAGGATAATTTATTCCACGTATCAAACACATGACTTTTTATTCATTTTGATCTAAACTTTTAAATAAAAGCAATTTTACTTGAACACTCAAATACTATGGAAACCACAAAATTTCTTTTTTTCCTTTTATTGTAACCAATTATTTATTCACTGGAACAAGTGAAGTGAAAAACTCATTTATGAGAGAAAATAAATTTATTTACATTTCAAAAGACGAACTTATATAAATGAGACGGAGAAATTTTTTTTAGTATCAATCGTTTAAAATCAAATTGAGGATCTTCCCTCCACCAAGCATGGTCCAAATTCATTCTCCATGAAAATTTATCTGTCACTAGTTGCATGATTGTCTCTTAAGGAAAAATAATATATTTTGAGTAAACGACAGTGTGAAACGATAACTTGAAAAATTTTGCTATTTATATATTGATTTTGACACTTTGGTTGACACTTTTACATTGTTGTAAGTGTCAATTGAATGAAAAAACTTTTTGAAATTTAAATTGTCCAATAGAATAATGGCATGTGACAAAGTGTAGACTAAAGTGTACACCATAGTGTACATGTAACAATGTTCAAACTTATAATGTTGAGGGGACAATTTATGTTGGATCTTTCACAATCAAATTAGCAAGATTGAAATGATCATTTACGCCCTTCGAAAATTTATTTGTTGGTTTTCAGTTTTTAAGTTTCTATAATTTGAAAATGGAAAAAGCCTAAGTGGACTACGGACATTTGAAGCTAGGTCTGACATTTTCTTATCTTTTCTTCTTTTCAAGAAAAAAAATATCATAAATTTTTAAAAGTTGATCCAAGTCTTGTAACACCGATATGGAGGAATGGCAAAAAAAATTCATTCAACCCGATACACGTGGGGTTTCGCCCCGAATAGGGTAGGTAATACCCTCTTAACTGGGTACATAGGATGGGTATGGAGTGAGAGTCATTGCCCCGAAGCGGGTATGGGACGGTACGAGAAACATATTCCCCGTCCCATTACCCGTCCCGTTTAATATTAATTTCAAATTTAAGTTTTTATTAAACAAAAATAATAAATTTATAATTTTTTTTAAAGAGAATATAAGTTGTTTTAAACAAATTGGTAAAAAAAAGTAATACTATTGACCAACTAAGGACATAAAAAATAAAAGCAAAAAAGAAAAAAATAAAAAATAAACAGGGCGATAAATGGGGTAGGAGACTTGCCCCGCCCCGAACCGCCCTGTCCCACTTTAACTGGCTATGGGGTATAGGGTAAAATAACAAAAAGATCTGACAGGACGGAGGTGGGAATTGCCGATCCGTCCTATACCTGCCTTGCCATCCCTAATAATGGTGGGGAATTACTAGCACTAGGATATTTGGTGCCATTTTGCTGGCTGTATTTCCATTAAAATGGCTACGGTAGACAACCTTAGTTTATTTTTATCTTTTGAGGTCTATAAATGGTTACGTTTGCTCATCTTCCCTTGAATTAGGAGTAGAAGCGATACCTCTTTTGTTTTCAAGCCAATAACAATTGCAAAGGAATTCAGTCAACTTTTAATAATTGTTTGATTATGTATTTATAATTTTCTTTTATAAATTCAGTATACAGAAAAATTTACAAGTGCTACCAACGTCCCAATTTTTGTACAAATACTTGTTTACTCTTCAATTTTTATATGATCAACTACTAACTTATGTATTGGAGTATCCTTTAAACAATATCTCATCCGTTTTTCGCATTTTTGTTTAAAACTTTCAAAGTTATTGTTAAAGAGAATCGACATCAATTGAAGTCTAAGTTTCCGTGATAGATTTCGACTCGAATTAAAAGAAATCGTTAGTGTGTGTTTTGTAGATCCAATGCGACCAGAAGTGCAAATAAAAGATGCGACTTTGACATATATTTTTAGAATAACAATACTTTCAAATATCTTTATCTCAATCTTAACATAGGAGTAGACGGCCTCCAATCCCTATATCTCTTTCGTGCCCTTGATTAACTTATGAACATAGTATATTCAATATAATAAAATTGAATATGAGTGAAAAGAGAGTCACGAGACAAAGTTTTGTGTAAATGCATGAATCATTCACGTTAAAGGCCATAGGTGTCAATCGAAGTGAAATTCTTCTTTATAGATTTCAATTGGAATAAAATTAAGTTTCTATTTAACTCTCATTAAAATTATAATTCATTTTTCTCTTTTTTTATCAACTACATATTCTCTAATAAAATAATATTGCATGTAACCCCAAAAACCTTTTTTTAACCACACATTCCTAAAAAAATTACTACTCCAAAATATATTTTTCCCAAATTCTCATTATAATGGGAGCCAATCAAGGGCTAAATTGTTTGTGTGTTTAGTGGATTACATTAATGTTGCTTCCTCGGTGATCCGAACTTCAAAAAAAAAAAAAAAAAAAAAGATTTCGACATTTATGTGATCATGGACTGGACTCACGGTTTATTCTCGGTTGACTCTCATTTTTGGGAAATCTATATTTTGAAATAGCGATTTTTTGAAAAAAAATATGTAATTGAAAAATAAAGATTTTTTTTGAAATTACGAGTAAAATTATTTTACAGAGAAATGTGTGATTAAAAAAATAAGTTTTTGAAAAAAATGGAGTACCCTTCTTTGAGCATCATTTTTTAGGGAAAATTGTTTGGAGAATGTGAGATTAAAAAATAAGGAAAAGTTACGTGTGAAATTATTTTATTGAAAAATGTGTGATTGAGAATGAGTTTTTAAAAAATTAGTTTTTGGGGGAAAAAAATGAAGGCCAAATATAAGCTTAGTATTTTCAACATGAAAAATGAATATGATCGATAAAGGAAAGATCTTAAAATTTGACACCGTCATCTATTTATGATATATCACATCTTATGCCGCGTTGTTTTTCCCTTTTATTCCTCTTTATTTTTTTATTAGATGCTTAATTAATTTTTGCACAAGTTGGATCTGACTAGTACAAGCATGGAAGTTGAAAGAGTCGAATATTAGATTAGGAACTAATTAATTAAGGGTAATATTATCTGTAGTCACTCACTACAACAGTCGTCCTTACGACATCCATATGAAATGTGGTTATTTAATACATGAGTCAGTAAGCAACTGCGAATAACGTTATTCAATTAAATTTAGAACACGTAAATGAATGTTGTATACACTAAATTTATTCAGTAAAATAACACCTGATCCGTGCATTAATAATTTGAGAAATAATTGCAATGGAATCCATCAAACTATTAAATATATATGTGCAAAATGGATATTTTTATTTTATTTTCTGTGATAGCTGGTTCTTTACCTTTCAAGCTTGTAACAACTTTGGTTTCATAGGATAATTTGCGTCCACTTGACCGTTATAAAATCTAATTGATTTGTCTTGGCTTACACCAAAGGCTGAATGGTTCAAGACATCACGTTCACCAATTAGCCGGGTAAGTCCGATAGTATTTCACTAAGGGAGGTTCAAAGCCAGAAGCTACCTTACCTGATGCAGTGTTTTTCCGCTTACTCTCTACAATGCATAATGCATCATCATTGCATTGCATGATACTTATGTACTCGAATTTTCATTCATGTGGGGGATTATTGGAAATGGTGTTTATTAATAAACCAATTCAAAAATGAATGAGAAATTGTGGTTTTTGGAATAGTGGCACCTGTTTGAAAGGTTGCATGGTTTGGCTCAAATCCTTTCATCACACCACTCCATTCTCTATATAAAGGACCCCTTGGATGACTTTGAGAGTACACCATTTGCATATTGAGCATTCATTCTTCTCAAAATTGCAATTCTCTTCTTCTTCATCTCTTTTCATATATTATATTCCTTGTAGAAGGGAAACTCCGTTGAAAGTTCGCCGGATTTGTAGTTTGAAGTGCTACTACCACAAATCGAATCCGTTGTATCTTGGGAGACAATTGCCGCCAACCGTGAGCACCGTAACGGGGCAATATTGTCTTAAGGAGAGAGTGAATACACTTGCCTCGGATTTAATCTTCGTTTTCTACTCCTTCTTATTTTAAATTTCTTATTTGGTTTTATGGTTTTGTACTACATTTCCATTTCATAAATTTGTGATTAAAATGGACTCACAAACAACCATCTTTACCGCTCACAAATAAGCCCGGTTCCCAACAAATTGTTGTGCATTTCATACCAGCAAATTTTAGAACTTGGAAAATAAAAGCTATTTATTGATGTGTTTGAATATAATTACAAAAATGGAAATAGATTATAGGATTTTTTTTAATGATAAATGTAATATTATTAATTACATTTTTTTGATTAGTAATTTTAAAAGTTAGTTAAAATCTATTAAATCTCACAATATCTAAGAGTGTGTTTGATTACATTTATTTTTCATGAAAAATATCAGTTTTCCATTCAAATTCCTACTTGGAGTGTTTGATTGCTATTTTTTTCCATGGAAAATATTTTCTAACTTTTGAAAATATGTCTAATTTTCCTTGTTTTTAAGGAAAATATTTTCCTTGGATAGAGGTGGTTTTTATTTTCCACAAAAGATGGAAAATATTTTCTTTTCTAGGTGATATTTTCCATGTCAATCAAACACGCTCTAAAATTATAAAATAAAAAACTTGTCCATGAAGGAGAATAGGAATCAACTTAGCCCCTGTTTGGCCCCCTTTAAAACTCTTCAATTTAATTTAATTTTTTCTCTCTCCTACTTTCAATCACACAATTTTTAATAAAATAATATTACGCACAAATCGAAAACTTTTCAACTACATAATTTTTAAAAAAAAAAAAATACTATTCCCCCATTATAAATTCAAATAGTGGGGGCCAAGCGGGGGGCTTAATTCATTCATGTTACAATTTATATTTAAATATAGACAATTGAAAAGGCTAAAGGCATAATCTGGAAAGGCTATGATTTGATGCTTCTCAAAAATCCACCCCTAAATGGTACAAATGCTTGCATGATCAATTTTTCTCAAAACTACTAATCATCTAAAATAACTTGTGATTATTCGAGAATCGAAAGTTGAGTTCTAAAATCAATCTCGAATGGCACGTTTATGTCAATTAGCTTATCATAATAACAGAAATTTTGAGTTATCTTCTTCCTCCCCATTGTGAATGTTGACATTTATCTCAACAAATAAAACTGAAATAGGTGATTGAGTGTAAAGATAACGACGGTGTGCAATTTACTTCTGTACTATAATGAAATTCAACCCTTCAAGTGTATAAAGAAGAAGAAGAAGAAGAAGAAGAAGAAGAAATTCAGCTCTTCAAAATATCTGAAAAAGTGTCAAAGATGTGGTTTTCACAGATTAAGCAATGATGTTGTATTCGGTTTTTTTTTTTTTTTTTTTTTTTTTTTTTTTTTTTTTTTTTTTTTTTTTTTTTTTTTTTTGGGATACCAATATCTATTTTGAATGTTATAGTATTTCAATGAAATAAGGATAGTTGAGTTTAAGGGCATGATGTTAAAAGGGAGACAAAAAGTAATGCAATGAAATTGATCAAAGTATTTGATAAAAATAAAATTAGTTACATAGTCATCAAATAGCAATGGAATAAGAGTTAAATAATTCACTATCTTGAAGTACCATAGAAGAGTTGTAACACCTTGAACATGAAGGCTTGCATGTGCGAGAAATAGTTTTGGAGACTGCATAAATGAACTTGAAATTCGAACAAATAACAATTGTTGAGAATGGAATCGAGTGGTTGAGCTCTTAGATTCACACTTACAAGTTGATCATATTCTGACACCAAATTGGCCTAAAGAAAGCATGAGTGAAGAATTAGAATATCAAAGAACTTCCCCAGATATCTCTAACTAAAAGGAAATAGTTATTAAAAGATTTAGTAGAGACGGTCGATTAGAAAATCTTCTTCACCATTTCTTGCAACGAAATCTTGAAAATTAGTTCACTAATTTTTGTAACTTTCCTATCGTCCAAATTATAATCTAAAGGCTTATTAGCACAAAACTTCTCTACATTTGGCCTTTAGTGTACAAAATGTCTATACGTTTCAAATTTTTGTATTTCACCTTTATTTTCATGTTTCATTGTGGAAAGCGTCATTCAATTAAAACTTGCAAAATGACAAATATACCCTAATATTTAAATAAAAAAATAATAGAAAATAAAGAACAAATTACAATCATATTCTCAATTTATTTTTTTAAAGAAAAATAAAAATAAGCTCCAAATAAATTAAATTAAAAAATTTTTAAAAAAAGAGAAAAAGAAAAATTACTTTCTTTCTCCTTCTCCGCCATCATTTTCTTCCCCAAGATCCCTACCATTTTACTTCAACCCAGGCATGAATATTTTGCCCATTTCGCATGTCCACAAGAACAAAAGTAAAATTTTCGAATTATTGATGTAGTAGCTTGCAGTTTGTGTAATCACAAATTCAATGTTGTTAAAGTTTATCCCTGCATGATTCCCACCCCGATCATTGAATTCTTGCTTTCTGTTAAGGGATAAAATCTCATATCGAATAAACATGAAAATATAGATCAATTTATAAGTTCTTGAGCTACTCCCCTTAACAAGATTGATATTTTAAGATGAAAACTCAAATCTTAATATGGTATCAAAGTTCATTGAGCTTTAATTGTTGATCCCAAAAGGTTGTAAGAACTAAGATTTAATAGAACAGTACAGTATGAAGTAACGAAGATCACAACAATGAAATAAGGTTAAAAATAAAGAAATAAACAAGAGTTAAGCAAAGGAAACAATGTTTTATTATAACAATATGGAGAGAAAATTATAACAAAACATTTTTTGGTTAAAAAAAACTGAATGAAAAGGCCACTATTTTATAGGTACATATTGTACCATAAAGATGAAAATAATATAAAAAATAATGTGAAATTAAGAAAATAATATTTTTCCAATAAAATCACGTGAAAATAATAATGTGGAAATAAGAAAATAATATTTTTCCAAAAAATTCCCCCTAATTTGGGGCACAAAATTTAACAATCTCCATCTTGACTCAAATTTCGGTGCAACGAATGAACTTTCAAAATTTCTTCACCTGAGAAATAAGTCCGTCCACATCAAAATAGCCAAGCTCCTAAACAAAGTAACCAAAACTCTACATTACCAAAAATATCTTCCTCTATACGATGTCCACGGGTGATGAGCGAATTTCACTCATTGATTTAATGTCTCTTAAGCTTGAAATATTTGGTTGTTTTCGAGAAATGTAGAATGTTTTGATGCGGGTATTTGTGTTGTTTTATAGGTAAACCAATTTGATGAAATGGTGAGTTTAAAGGGTGGAAAAGAGTCAAAGTTATATAGAAGTGAATGGACAAGAAGAAGTATCAAGATGCACGTGAAAGACGATGGAAGAAAGAAGGAAGAAAACCAACTAAAAAAAAAAAAACTTAACACAGCGCCTGGGCGCCACAAATCAGCGCCCAGGCGCTGAACAAGCACAAGGAGCAGAATTGCAGCAGCGCCTGAAAGGAAAAACGCAATTTTTCCAAATATTTTTGACCTGGCCCAACTCCAACTCGTAATGCAAATTAAAGGGATTATAAATACATATTGACAGACCTAAGAAAGGGTGTTGGACGACTGAAGAAAGGAGGCAAGGAGATACACTAATTGAAAGAAGAATCACCGGATTTTGGAGAAGGAATCAAGCTGCAACCTGAGTTTTTTCTTATCTTTCTCTTCTCCATGCGATTTAATTCATATTTTATAATGTTCTTCTTCTCAATCATGAACTAAGTTATTAAATATAGGGTTTGATGTAACCTATTTGAGACATAATTCAATTTCTTTATAGTATTTCCATTTAATTTTCCAGAATTGATTTGTATTGTTCTTGCTTAATGCTTTTAGTTGCTTGATCACTAGTTGAATGAATTGATGCTCTAAATTTAACGCTCGAGAGAGGAAAATTTAGGCATGATCTAAGAACAATATAACCTAGATTTATAGATTTTGAGAGAAAGTGCAATTCTTTGAGGGTAAAACAAGAACCAGGTGCGTGATAATCTTTATAAATTTAACTCGGAATAGAGATATTGAGGTTGAAATATAGAGATAGGTTCTATTTGACGCTCGAGAGGGGGAAATAGAATTAATTTAGGATTCTTGCCTATGAATTCGGGAAATAATTAATGGAAGTATCTATAAGGGTTGAGAATTATGTTGATAATACGGTGAAATCACTCCCTAGACTTTATGAAATTGTGAATTAATCTTTAGAAATTGCCTCACTTTTCTTGCATTATTAAATTCATCGACATTAGTTTAGCATTCAAACATCAATTTAACATCCAACTGTCTAGATAAAGTAAACGCGGACATAATTATAGTACTCAGTGGAAGTCGAATATCAATTCGTATGGGTTCGACACTTTTCATTTCTTTAATATACTACAAAACTTGACACCGTGCGCTTGCGGTATAAAATCACATTATATAAATCACGTGGCAAGTTTTTGGCGCCGTTGTCGGGGATTGATTCATTCGAATTCAATTGATATTATTACCAATCGGCGTTCATTTTACTCTAGATTTTTATTTTTACCATAATTTTTATTTTACTCTTTTTGTATCTATCTTTAAAAGCTTCCTTGTGATTATTTTCAGCTGTTTATGCGAAGGGCGAAAAATCTAGATCTACTACCTGTTGATCCTGAACCAGAACGCACATTTCGCATTCTCAGAGGCATATAAAGAAATGAACGGAAAGCAATGGCAGAACAGGATGCTAGAGCAGCCAATGAGGATAACCAACAAAGGGCTATTTGGGAATACATAAGGTAGGTTGTCAATGACAACTATTTCGGCATCGCACGCCCAGCAATTGCTGCAAACAATTTTGAATTGAAGCCAGGGTTGATACATATGGTGCAGCAAAATCAGTTTGGGGGTGCTGCAATAGAAGATCCAAATGCTTATCTTGGATCCTTTTTGGAAATTTGTGACACGGTGAAGATGAATGGGGTTACTGAAGATGAAATTAGACTCCGCCTATTCTCATTCTCTTTAAGGGATAAAGCAAAGGCTTGGTTCCAATCACTACCGTATGGCTCAATTACAACTTGGGATGATTTGGCTCAGAAATCCCTCACCAAGTACTTTCCACTTTCTAAATCAGCTCAACTTCGCCATGAAATTAGCCAATTCAAACAACTCGACTTCGAGCCATTCTATGAAGCTTGGGAAAGATTTAAAGACTTGCTTAGGTGATGTCCTCAACATGGGTTCCAGAAATGGGTGCAAATTGAAATATTTTATAATGGGATAAATGGGCAGACAAGGACTATGGTAGATGCAGCTGCGGGAGACATTTTAATGGCTAAAACAGCAGAGGCTACATATGCTTTATTGGATGACATAGCCACCAACAGTTACCAATGGCCAAGTGAAAGATCGGGTGTAAAGAAAGTAGCAGGACTTCATGAAGTAGATCCCATCACTGCACTAGCAGCTCAGGTTGCATCACTCACAAATCAGATAGTCGCGCTTACCACTCAAGGAAATCAACAGAAGGTAGATTCAATCATGAGTACTTCTTCTTCACACCAAGAGACAGAGGTTGCAAACGAGCAGGCCCAATATGTCAACAGTAGAAACTACAATCAAAGAGGAAGCTATCAAGCTAATCACTATCATCCAGCGCTGAGGAATCATGAGAACTTGTCATATGGCAACAATAGAAACACACTTCAACCTCCACCCGGATTCAACACTCAGAATTCTGATGGGAAACCACCATTGGAAGACATCCTTGGAACGTTCATTTCTGAGACAAGATCACGCTTCAACAAAGATGAATCACGTTTGGATAATATTGAAACACATGTGTCCAACATGGGAGCCACAATGAAGAATCTTGAAGTGCAAATTGACCAATTGGCTACCTCAATAAAGTCTCAGCAAAAAGGAAAATTTCCAAGTGATACAGAGGTCAATCCAAAGGAGCACTGTAAAGCTGTTGTATTAAGGAATGGCAAGCAAGTTGGAGAAAGTGAACTCACTGAAGATAGCAACCCCACACCTGATAAGGAGAAAGAACAAGTAGTAGATGAGCAAGAAAAGCAGGCCAAGGGAACAAATAAAGCCCACAGACCTTACTCCATATCCTTCCCTGACAACCCACCAATTCTCGCACCACCACTTCCATTTCCACAGCGTTTTCAAAAGAAAAAATTTGATAATCAATTTGCAAAATTTTTAAAAATTTTCAAGAAAATTCACATTAATATTCCTTTTGTAGATGTTTTGGAATAAATGCCAAATTACGTAAAGTTTATGAAGGAAGTGATGTTAAAGAAGCGAAAATTGGAGGAATATGAAACAGTAAAATTGACAGAAGAATGCAGCGCTATTCTTCAAAAGAAACTTCCTCAGAAGAGAAAAGATCCGGGCAGCTTCACTATTCCATGCACCATTGGAAGCTCCTCCTTTGAAAAGGCCCTCTGTGATCTAGGAGCAAGCATCAACCTAATGCCGTTATCATTATTCAAGAAATTAGGCCTCGGGGAGGTCAAGCCAATAACAGTGACTCTACAACTAGCTGATAGGTCCCTCACCTACCCAAGAGGGATTATTGAAGACGTGTTGGTAAAGGTCGACAAATTCATCTTCCCAGCCGATTTTGTGGTATTAGATATGGAAGAAGATCAGGAAATCCCACTGATTTTAGGCAGGCCATTCTTAGCAACTGGAAGGGCATTAATTGATGTACAAGAGGGACAATTGACATTGAGAGTAAATGAAGAAGAGGTGAGGTTCAACATTTACCAAGCAATGAAATACTCAGATGACAATGACACTTGCACATGATTAACTTCATTGATTCTGCTGTGAGAGATGAGAAAGTATGTATTGAAGATCCTCTAGAGCAATGTATGATGTTTAGTACAACAAAGGATGATATTAGCACTTTTGGAGAGTACATAGGGAGCAAGGATTTGGTTGATTACATATTG